CTGTGGGTGCTGTAAAGACAAGCATCTCTCTTCTAGCTTAACTCTCAATGTAAAAAAAAAATCACCATTTTATGCAGCTTTTACCACTTGGCCTGTTGAAGTCTGAAAATATCTCACCCCCACCACCACCCCCGCGGCTGTTTTACTGCCTGAGTTGTACTTGTAACCTGAGTTTTTAAGCCACTGAAGGATGCACAGGAATTCTTTTCCCCTCGTTCTTTTCTAAGCACCTCCCCCAAGTTCCACTAGTAACTCGGGAAACACTCCAGCACCACCTGTTGGGAAGAGGCCGCTGCTGCTGGGGAAGCGGCCGGGGCAGGTCCTGAGCAGGATGCTGCACCAAGCGAAGAGCTACTCCCATTCCAAACAGAGCCCCGTCTTGACCCGCCTCAGTGTCTTTCAGTCTCCAGATGAAGATGAGGAGGAAGATTATGAGCAGTGGTTGGAAATTAAAGGTAAATGAGACCTTGTGCTATGCTGGTTTGACTAGGGGGTGGAGGGTTGTTTGCCTTAGTGACAGGAGGGTGGTTCTCCCTGCGGGAGGGTTGGGCTTGTGGCTCCCTCAGGCTGGTGGTTGGTGGTAGCACAGCTGATATTTGCAGAGCTCTGCCTGGTGACACGTCAATGACACCAGGTTGTGCTGGTGGCCTCTTCTGGAGGTCTTCCTGTGGGAGGTGATCCTGCCCTGGCAGGATCCTCAGAGGTCCCTTCCAGCCCTGACCACTCTGACTCCTCCAAGCTTCAGCAGAAAACCTGAGGACTGAATGATAATGTGTAGAAAAGAAATGTGTTATTTTAATGGAGTTGAATTGTTTCCTAATCATAATTCTGCTTTCATACAGCAGAGCTGTGCTATGGTTAGCTCTCTAGAGCTTGTAGATATAGTGCTTGTATTTAAAATGGAATTATAGGGGTTTGAATGTTAGAAGAACTAAATTTAAGGGTTGGAACTAGATGATCTTTAAGGTCCCTTCCAACCCAAACCAGTCCATGAAGACAAGTCTTCAGTGTGGGTGGCTGTGGAGGGGAGAACATTGTGTTAATTAATAAAGCAACATGTAACACACAGAACTATGACCAGGTCAAGTGAAAGTTCCTGCCTCTCTTCAGAGTTTCATTAGAAAATGTCACCTTTGGCTCGTGGCTACTTTAAGTAGAATAGAAAAACCAATGAAGAATATTGCAGGGCTTATTTCTGTGGGTAACCCAGGCTAGGAAGCCAGAAGGCAGATTTATTTAATAATCTGAATTTCATGGGTGGGTATTAATCAAGTATAAAATTAGATTGGAATTGCTAAATAAGTCACACTAAGCTTTGTGGTATAATTTATTTCATTATATGTTTACAAAACCATGTCTAACTCTTTCTGGTGGGATTTATAACAGTCTGATCTTAGCAAGTCTGGACTGGAGTGGGAAATGCACTGCAGGGCTGTGGGGAGCAGAGAGCAAAGACCCAAATGGACCCTTAATGTAAAGATCATGGGGTTTGAACTGAGTTTGAAATCAGTCTGGGCAGCTCTGCTGCTGCTGCTCTGCACTCAGATTAAACCTGGAAGAGGGAAATTTAGGTTGGACATGAGGAGAGAATTCTTGAGTGTGAGGGTGGTGAGAGCCTGGCCCAGGTTGCCCAGGGAAGCTGTGGCTGCCCCATCCCTGGCAGTGTTGAAGGGCAGGTTGGATGGGGCTTGGAGCAACCTGGGCTGGTGGGAGGTGTCCCTGCCCATGCAGGGGGGTTGGGACTGGATGATCTTGAAGGTCCCTTCCCACCCAAACCATTCCATGAGTTCCTGTTCCTCCCAGTTGTGCTATGTATGGAGCAGAGTTGTCAGGAGCAAATGATATTGCAAATGGAAGTTGCACCCTGAGCTTTGGACATCCAAGCCTGAGGCTTCTTGTAGAAAGAACCTAGACAATCAACTTCTTCCCAGGGGGAGCAGAGAGGCTGACAGTAACATAGGGATTGTAATTTGTACAACTGTGTAAAACTGGATCCCCCATTTCATCCTTTTTCTTCCCATTCCCCTTCTACTTTTGTCTGCCGCCGTGGTTCTTAGAAGTAATGTCCCTGTTGCCTGTTTGGTGTGTGAGTTGAACCCCAGTACTGACAGCTGCTTAAAGTTTTACCCCCAGAGGATGCGGAGACCCGACAAGTGGTGGAAAAGCTGGCTAGGTTCGTGGCTGAAGGGGGACCTGAGTTAGAGAAGGTGGCTATGGAAGACTACAAGGATAACCCAGCTTTTTCGTAAGTGTGGTGATCACTCTTGCTTTCCAAAGCAGAACTCTTGTCTGTAGGAGAAAACTTCCAGCCTTGTGTCTGTAGCCCTCCTGGGTGGGCTTGGTTTTGTTGTAGCCCCCAACATAAGAAGGACATGGAGCTCCTGGGGAGAGTCCAGAGGAGGCCAAGGAGATGATCTGAGCGCTGGAGCAGCTCTGGAGCCAGGCTGGGAGAGTTGGGGTGTTCAGCCTGGAGAAGTGAAGGCTCCAGGGAGACCTTAGAGCAGCTTCCAGTGCCTGAAGGGGCTCCAGGAAAGCTGGGGAGGGACTTGGGACAAGGGCAGGGAGGGAGAGGACAAGGGGGGGTGGATGAAAACTGAAAGAAGGAGATTGAGGTTGGACATGAGGAGGAAATTCTTTGCTGTGAGGGTGATGAGAGCCTGGCCCAGGTTGCCCAGGGAAGCTGTGGTTGTCCCATCCCTGGCAGTGTTGAAGTGCAGGTTGGATGGGGCTTGGAGCAGCCTGGTCTGGTGGGTGGTGTCCCTGCCCATGCAGGGGGTTGGATCTAGATGATCTTTAATGTCCCTTCCCACCCAAGCCATTCAGTGATGATTCTATGATCATTTGCTGGATTTGAGCTTTGCTGTAACTGTTTAATAGCTGGGGAAGCTGAGGCAGAAAGTGACACCAGGTGGTGCTGAGGGGACAGAGCAGCTGGAGTTAGAACAGCCTGGGAGGTCTGGCTGCCTGTACAACATCTGGGATATGGGGATACTGGACTGCATCCTGGGACTAATCCTGCCACCTCTGGCATGGACGTGCTGTGTGGCTGGGGACAGAGGATCCCCTCCTACATCAGAAGAGGCTCTTGGTCATTTCCCTTCAAGTGACACAAAAAGCCTTTGTACAAATCTTTAATTTAAAGCTTTGTCTGTTGATAGATGCTGAAGAATTTCTAACCCACATTAAGTGCCTTCTGAGTAGTTTATATCTTGTTTTGAGCTGTTTATGTCCCAGAGTATCAATGTTTGTTTATAGTTGTTGCTGATCCATATTTTTTTGCCTTTTTTTCCCCCCACCACCCTAGGTTTTTGCATGATAAGAACAGCAGAGAATTCCTTTACTACAGAAAGAAAGTGGCAGAGATAAGGAAAGAGAATCAAAGTTCTCAGGCATCCTCTTCTCAGAAAGGTAATTAAGGCTGGGATCTGGAGAATCACTCTAATGAATTGCAGAAGTTAAATTTTACTTTTTCACTCTCTGCAACTGCTGGTGAGGTGTGTTCTGGGCACAATTGGAGGGGATATTTGGCTGTGAATTTGCTGCCTGTAAATAAAATGTCAAAATGGAAGGAGATGGTGATCAAACATCATGATGGCATCAAACTCTGGTGCCAGAAGGGCTGTTTCCCAAGCCTGTAACATGCTATGCCATGCCTAAAGGGCTCTTGAAAGAGATTTCCCTTGTATTTTTCCAAAATCCTAAACAACGGGAATTAAAATGAGTCTTTGTGTGTGTTCTGGAGAGTGTCTCAGCCCTGAAAATGCATTTAGGAAAAGTGCTTTTCCTCAGATGTTCTTGTTTGATCTGTTATCAATAGAAATGGTTGGTTTGGTTAAACACAATCCCCATTTCTGCTGCCGTTTCCCAAACTGAAGCTTGTATTTTCTGCTTGTGGTGTAAATCCTTGCCAGAGAGGGACTTTTCAGGTGGGAAAACAGCAGCAGTGGGTGATCTGGCAACAGATCACAGGGGCTGTGGGCAGTGGAGTCTGGTGAAGAAGTGATTCTGTGGGCGAGGTGTGGTCTGTGGGCCAGACCTTCATCCCTTCTGCTCCAGGCCTCCCTGTAACCCTGGCCAGTGGCTCAGCCTGTCCCTGGCACCTTCCTTTGCTGTGGGAAGGAGTCTGAAAGCAATTTAGCTGTTGTGCTGCTGAGTTAACACCTCAAACAACTCCTGGTTTAACAGCCTGTAGGCTGAAAACAGCTTGTTACCAGTATCAACCAACCGATACATCAGTTTGGAAGCTGAGCAGTATTATCCATACTTTACAGGTGTGGAATGTTGAAGGAAGGGAAGGTTATGACTTGTCCATGGCTTATAATCATGTCTTCTGCCTCCTGGTCCTGTGCCAGCAGGCTGGAGTACTGGCACTGGGACTGTGCAGGTAGCAAATGTCATATCAAGCTGTCGTGGCTAAATAAGATGTTTGCCTGGCTCCTTATAAACATCCAATCTGCTTGAAACACTAACAATCTGAGCCTTGTCCCTGCCCTTGGGTGGAGGCTGCAGTAGCTACCTCCTCCAGGTGAGGATTGGGGCTGTTCCATGGAGCATTTCCCCTCTCCTACAACCCTCCCCTCGAATGGCCAGCAGATGTGGAGGGACAGGTGGGGTGAGAACCTCAGTTTGCTACTTTTTATAAAGCTTTCCCGTTGCTCCTGGGGACATCAGTGGGCACGTCTTTTAACTAGAGAGGTGTAGCCCTGTGGAAAAGCACCTGCCATGAGGAAGAGACATAATTCCTCTGCAGGAGAGAGAGAGGCAAGTGTCCACCTGTGGAGACAAAAGCTGGTTTGTCTGTTAATCTGCTCTCATCTGGCTCCTGGCACGAGGGGAAGCTGGGCTGTGAGCGGGCGCTCCTCAGGTTACAGCCTTGTGCAATGTCGTGTTTTTGTGATGTAAACTCTTGATGACTGTTGATGTTTAATGCTTCATAAAAATTAAACTCGACCTTTTGCCCTTATTCTGCTCTTGGGGTCCTTAGAACAGATAGGCTTTGACTGTTGCTTGTGTGAGTTGGGCCCAGTACTGACAGCCTGCTTAAAGTTTCACCCCCAGACGACGAAGAGACAAAGAACTCTGCTGAGAAACTGGCCCGGTTCATAGCAGACGGGGGTCCTGAGGTGGAAGCTATTGCCTTGCAGAACAACAGAGAGAACCATGCTTTCAGGTAAGGGGAGAAACCTGCTGCTGGGGGTCATGGTAGGGGAGGGAGGTTGGGTGGGCCTTTTTCAGGGGAAACAGCAGGTGGGCTTGTGCCTGTCTGAGGTTACAAGGACAGTGCACTCAGCACTGGCACTTCTGTGTTCTCAGGCTGCACAGTCCAAGGCACAGAGACAGAAATCAGTTTGCTTCTCCCCAAATTAATTTACAGCCTCCCCCTCCTCCTCACTTACATCCTGTTGCAATGTGCTGGTGTAATTCTAACCTTTCTACTTCCCCCTGTAGCTGTGAGTTGGTGAGAACCCCCATCCACCCTTCCTACCACTGCTGCCCCCTTCATTTCCTGGGTTGCTCTTTCCACAGCATCTTGACTAAGGTGCAGGTCTCCCTCCCTCAGGCTTAGGTCCCTTTTGGGATCCCCTTTCCAGCCTTTCAGGTGGGAGTTGTTCTCTCCAGTGCTCACTGAGCAGCTGTTTGATGCCTCCCTTTGGTCTCGTCTGTGTTACATTTTTCTGCTCTTACAAACAATTTGGTGTGTTCTCTGGAAGTGAAGTGGGGCTGAGCAAATCTTCTTTTGCTGCTGATATTTTGGCATTTTATTGGCTTCCTCCTGTGTTGCAAATTGCCTTAGACAGATGTGCTAATATTTGAGCTGCTTCATGATTTTATTCAAAACACCCCCTGTGACCTCAGGTCAGAGGTGCCTATTTCTGGAAGGGGTAGCAAATAAAGCAGTGGGATTTTTGTGTGTGTGAGGGAATAGAAGGAGGAGTCCTGGTGTCATTAAGCAGACAGGTAATGTCAATGTTTCTAGCTTGAGTAGGGGCTTGGGAGCAGCTTCTTCAGGCACTGGTTTGATGCTCCCCTTGGTAAGACTGGAATGTTTGTTTTCTCCTGGGAACCGAGACCTGACATGTTACAGTCTTTCCAGACATGTTCTGAAAGGCAGGTGAATTCTGGGGGAGGACCTCCCGTTCCCACACATGACCCCTTGGAGTCCCGTGTGTTTATTTGGCACCTGAAACAGCTCTGCTGTTTTCCAGAGTGGGCAATACCAGTTCCTGATCCCGAGGCCTGGAGCCCTGCAGTGCCTGCAGATCCGCACGGGATGGTGCTGGAGAGCAGAGAACTCTGCGGCCAGGCCGGTTGTTCAGGAGCATTGCAGGAGAGCAGAGCCCTGACTGAGCCGTGCTGTGCCTGCTACATCCAAACTTTATCTTTCTTTTTTTTTTCCAATTTCCTCACAGGTTTTTGTACGAGCCCAACAGCAAAGGCTACAGGTATTACCGGCAGAAGCTGGAGGAGTTCCGAAAGGCCA